TGCTGAACCAGCTCTTCTGGGCAGGGATCAGTCTTCTGTCCACAGTCATTATATTTCCAGGGACTGAGAACTTAGACAAGCACCGTGTGTGACAGACTGGGTTACAGAGATCCTCTTGGGACTGTCACATGATAAGCTGAACCTGCCCACCTGCCCTCTGGGGACCCCCCCGCCACCACTCTGTCCTGCTGAGACAGAAGCTCTGGTCTCCCCCAGAAAGGCACAGAGTTGGGGTCACCGCCCACAGCAGAATCTCCCCCAGAAAGGCACAGAGTCGGGGTCACCACCCACAGCAGAGTAACACAGTCACCAAGAACAGCTCAGCTCTGGGAAGGCTCAGTCACAGGGACTTGACACAGCACCCAGGTGCACGGCCCCTGATGTGAAAAGGTGCAGCATTCACGGCCCACCTGCTCCGTCCCAGAGCCATCTGCAATCTGGATCACACACTAGATAGTCACACAGAACACAGCACTGCAAACGGCACAACTCATAACCAATGATGAAAACAAGGGCTGCAGAATTGAGGGAAATTAAAGTGACAAATTCTGCCCTCATTCCCCTCTCTCAGATCACTTCCTTTTAAGAGATGTGAATCTTGCTACTGGCTGCTGACATGTACATAAAAACAAAACACACTGAAAGGGGAACTTAAGCCAAATCATCACCTTCCTCTCTCATTTTTCAACAAATAGAGTGGGCAAAGTGTTTCCACTTTTATTGCCAATTATGGAAATGCAGCAGCATGATCTATGGTTCACTGTCCTAACCACAAAGCCTTCCTCTCTAGCAAGTATTACTCCTTCCAGAAAAAAATATGTCATAGACACATAGAGCTGGAAGGGACCTCAGAAGGTCATCAAGTCCAGCCCCCTGCTCTAGGCAGGACCAATCCCAACTAAATCAACCCAGCCAGGGCTTTGTCAAGCCGAGACTTAAACACCTCTAGGGATGGAGACTCCACTACTTCCCTAGGGAACCCATTCCAGTGCTTCCCCACCCTCCTAGTGAAATAGTTTTTCCTAATATCCAACCTGGCCCTCTCCTACCACAACTCGAGACCATTGCTCCTTGTTCTGCCATCTGTCACTACTAAGACCAGCCTCTCTCCATCCTCTTTGGAACCTCCCTTGAGGAAGTTGAAGGCTGCTATGAAATCCCCCCTCACTCTTCGCTTCTGCAGACTAAACAGCCCCAACTCCCTCAGCCTCTCCTCATAGGTCATATGCTCCAGCCCCCTCATCATTTTGGTTGCCCTCCGCTGGACCCTCTCCAATGCGTCCACATCCTTTTTGTAGTGGGGGGCCCAGAACTGGACACAATACTCCAGATGTGGCCTCACCAGAGCCGAATAAAGGGGAATAATGACATCTCTGGATCTGCTGGCAATGCTCCTCTTAATGCAACCTAATATGCCATTAGCCTTCTTGGCTACAAGGGCCCCCTGTTGACTCATATCCAGCTTCTCATCCACTAGAACCCCCAGGTCCTTTTCTGCAGAACTACTACTTAGCTGGTTGGTCCCCAGCCTGTAACAATGCTTGGGATTCTTCCGTCCCAAGGGCAGGACTCTACACTTGTCCTTGTTGAACCTCATCAGATTTCTTGTGGCCCAATCCTCCAATTTGTCTAAGTCACTCTGGGCCCTATCTCTGCCCTCAAGCGTATCTACCTCTCCCCCTAACTTAGTGTCATCCGCAAACTTGCTGAGGGTGCAATCCATCCCCTCATCCAGGTCATTAATAAAGATATTGAACAAAACCGGCCCTAGAACCGAACCTTGGGGCGCTCCGCTAGAAACCGACCGCCATCCTGACATCGAGCCGTGAGGTCTCTTGCTCTGACTCACATTGTTCTCCATTCTGCATCCTTAGTTCTTGTAAAACATGACTCCCTTAAGCGGAAGGCTGGGTTGTAGTCACTGGCACTCAGGAGCTATGGATTCTCACAGACCCTAGGCAAATCACTTCATTTCTCCAGGCCTTGTCCCTACCTCCCATGGGGGTTGCAAAGACAAATTCATTAACGCATGCAGTGAATTCAGATACTAAAGTCAGGAGTATCACAGAAAAGTCTATAAATAGATGAACTGGGATTTCAGTGCCATCATATCTTGTCTGAGTAACCGACTGAGATTAGTTGGACAGTACAATGGTTAGGACCAAGTATCCACATCCAGTACCATTCCATCCATCTGCAGTAAACCAAGGAACTTTTACTATGGTTTTATTTGGAAATTATTCACAACTGACATGTAGTCTTGAAAGGAGCTTAAAACCAGATACACCCTCCCCCTTCAGCTCCTTTTGCATACAAGTCCCTTTTGCATTAACAAAAAAGCCACAATTGCTTGCTTAAAGAAAACCATAAGTAGATACAATTCAGCCAGATTTCATGCTGGAATGTCTGTTAGACTATCCTTGCTTAAAGAAAACCATAAGTAGATACAATTCAGCCAGATTTCATGCAGGAATGTCTGTAAGACTGTCTCTTTCCACTGTTGGCAGTGAGATGTCTAACACTGGTATCTAGGCATCTACGTACGGATTGCTTTTTGGCCTCTCCAGTCTGGGATGCTCCCTGTTCAGTGTTTGTATTTCAGAAAGGATTTTGTGTCAGACTAACTATCCTGTGCCTACAATCAACTCTGTCAGTTGTATGATATTCCACAAAGAATTCAACAATTCAAAATAAAAAACAAACAGCAGATCCAT